ATAGATAGATAGATAGATAGGTTGCCCTGTGGTGAAATGCCTATTCTCCACTTTGCAGTTTCTTTCCTGTTAACGCAGCTTTACAAGCCTATCATTACTATTTTCATGGCGAATATTCAGATGAGCTCCATTCTTTAGTTCGAGCAGTTAAACCCTTTACTACTGGTACACGCCATACCACATCCACAGAATCGAATCATCCCCATTTCATGGGTATTTTTTGTGTAACTAGAAGGTTCTATTTGAGTCGCTCTTGAACGTTAGTATAATAATAATAATAATAATAATAATAATAATAATAGAAACTTGTTCCCTGAATCTTAAACGAGAAATAATTTTTGCTTCTTGTAAGCATTCAAATATAATAATATCCATGTTTCAATTTATGTTTCTTGGGAAATGTGCCAAGGAACGGAAAGAATAGATCAATACCAAAAGATTTACCATATTTGTCTTTGAGATCAAAAGCCAAACGAAGACAATGTTACGAAAAATAGAAAACGAAGCGGCTCAAAAGATAATGTCTAATCGAAACAAATGCAATTACAAGATTTTTTTAAAAAATAAATTCACCCCAAGCAAGAGATAATAACACTAAGACTTAAGGAGATATAAAGGGAGTGAAGGAGAATGAAAAGACTTTAGAAAGAACCAGAAACCCAAACTTAAAGAGGGATAAACCTCAACTTGACAGAAGAGGAGACTGTGAACCGGACGGTAGACGAACCTATCTACTCCGATTGAGAAGTGGAAAAATAATAATTAGTAAATAAATGTTCGTTATTCGTGCGAGGTCGTTAGAAGTATAGAAATGAAGTAGACTTCAGAAAGAACCGGGAACCTAAGCCTAAAGAGTAAATAAGGATAACCCTCTACACTTATTCGGGAGTAGAAGGGAGGAGTGTGAAGCAGATGATTGGCGAGCCTAGTTATTAAAACAGTCTGTGTTTGAACACGTTCATCATTACAGATAACATAAATACCTTTTCCGCTACCTAAAACCGTAGTCCCAAAACACATACACAAAACAAAACAAAAAACAAAACACTAAATTACGTTCTCAGTTTCTTTTCAAAAAATTTATGTTGTGGTGTCCTCCCTCTAAAGCGTCTATGTTAGACTCTTCCGCCATCTATAAGATTAGGAGAGAAGGCCTTAAGGGAACAGTCGAATAGATCTGTTCCAGCTGTGCTTGTCAAACTCTCTGCCTTCGACCAGAGAGGATCCCCAGACGAGGCTATGTCGAAGGGCAGATTCTCGTCTCAGGAAACAACTACCCGGCCCCGTTTTATACAGGGTCTACGGGGAAATTTTGCCCGGGCCTACAGGCTCGGATTGCTCCAGAGTAAACTCGATCATTGTGCCACATCCTACCTCGTGGGGAGGCTGGTAAATATCAACAGTTGAATAGATTGAACGCTGGTCAACTGATCCACACTCACTAGTCGTGTAATACTCTTCTGTTATATTTACTGTTTAATATATGATATATTTGTAACACTTGTTTTGTTATATATTTAACCATTTACTTGGTCACAACAATTTAATACCCTGAAAAATTTTTTAGATTAACAGATTGTTACGGAGTGGTTTCACAGTGGGGGCTTGTATTTGTACTAAGTCGGTCCTAAAATAGGTTCGACGTACAAAAACGTTAGGAACTTGATATAATAGGTAATGACGTAGAGAAATCTAGTTGTGGTCGCTGATACTTTAGTATCCGACTAACGGTCGTCCGGCATCGACTGACTGACCGACTGCGCGACTCCCACGTTACTATTACTACTCCTACTTATTATAGGTGGGAAAGTCTATTAACTCTAGAATAGGTGTGTTCCACTATAACACAGCTATAATGACATTTGCTACGAAAAACAACTGCGTTCGAGGAGTTTATGAAAAATTCCCAGCCTCACATCAGTAGTGCACATCCACTATCAAGAATCGATCCCGGACCGTTTCGATACAACGCAAACGTCATACCATACTTTATATATATATATATATATATATATATATATATATATATATATATATATATGACAATGACAATAGGAAAACTGTAGTTATTGCTGATAGTATAACCGAGGTTTGGTTTGTTTTATTTTTATTTTTACGGCATATCAACACCTCAATGGGTTATTTAATGCTGACAAGATTTTTAGGATAGGTTCGTATGAATAGAATATGTATTCTTTGTAAGAAATCAGTTTCTAGATCAGGTTTTATTGACGTATTTTTCTAATGAGGGATTTTCTCGACAGTCAGATGTATGACTGGCAGTATTTTGTTTCAAAAATGTATTGCTGGTAATTTTTTTTAAAATGGATTGCGTGTAACAATTTTCTTCTCAATGTATTGTTAGTAATAATTTTATTTAAAAAAAATTATTACTGACATTTTTACTATAAGATACCCCGTCCTGGGTAAGACGGTGAACTACATCCGCATCCTGGGTAAGACGATAAACTACGTCCAACAGCAAGGCCTCTGATCAGGAGATTTTGAGAAGCGTTGAACCACCTCTTAATTGCTGATGTTCCCAGGTCCACTCTGTCCCGAGGTGATAACACCCGTTAGGGTCCCAGCTATGGGCAAATAGTTAACCCCGAAACTATGAAAGTGTAAAAATGTTTTTTAATACCAGAAATACTTTGTAAAAAAAATATTATCAGCAATACATTTTTGAAAAACAAATATTACTAGAAATACATATTTTTTTTAAAAAAGAATATTACCAGCGAAGGAAAATTCTTACCAGAAATAGATTTTTGGAACAAAATATTATCAACAATGAAAATTTTGTTGGCATTAAATAACCCATTGAGGTTGATATACCGTAAAACAAACCAAACCAAAGCAAACTATAAAATTCTAGTTTTACGCTTTCATAGTATTTTGACCCCAGTTTGAGGGTTAACTATTGGCTCATAGCTGGATTATATATATAAAAAAACTTAACGTGAATGTAATTAATACTATTTAATTAAAAAAAAAA